GTCCCCGGCCCAACACGGCTCCAGCAGGCCGTGCCCGCGTCCTCCGGGCTGGGCGGCCGGAGGTCAAGGGCTGCTGCTGAGGAGGGTGGCGAGGACTCTCCGTGTCCAGCCGGGGGTCCCTCTGGGACTCAGAGCCAAGGGGCTCTGGGACGTTGCCCTCCGGCCCCTCACAGACCCCCTGCCCAGGCTACGCAGGGGGTTCCGGCCCTCAGACCCGGACCCCTGCCGCTGTGTCCACTTCTGCGCCCGGTCTGAACTGGGAGGGGGGCGCTCCGTGTCCCCGCCAAAGGGGCGGGAATTCTGAAAGAAGGGGAGCCCCGTCCCCCCTCCTGCCGCCACCCGGCAGCCTTTTCCCGGGCCGGCAGCCGCCGCACACCGGCCTCCGCGCGGGCCTCTGGCGTTTACACATCCAAATGAACAGTTAAGAGAAATCAATGCATCTAATTGCCAGACTATTAAATCCTGCATCAGGGGGAGAACACCGCCGCCACCAGCTTAGGAGTTGGCTACCGATACGGCAATTACTGCAACTTTCTATTCCCGGGAACCGGTCCCCGCCTCCAGCACCGGGGAGAGGCGCGCGCGGGCTCCGCCGGCGCCCCCTCCTCCCTGCAGCACGCCGTGGCGGGCGGGCGGGCAGGCTGTGCCGGGGCTCCGGGTCCCACCGATGGCGTGCCCACTGTCACATCGCCCACACGGTGCCCCTGCCCGCAGGAGCGTCCCCCTGGGCACCCGACGGTCCAACGTCCAGCAGGGCCCCTGCCTGAGGCCTCCATTGCAGGGCCTACAGCATCTCTGCCAGGAAGCAGGTGGGGGATGCAAACGGCCGTCATTAGACAGCACGGTGGAGGGGGTGACAGGCCCTCGCGGCTGGGAGTGGGTGGCTTCAATGGGGGAGGAAGGAGGTGTTAAATATTGGGATTTAGGCGTCCGCCGCCCCCAGCCCCCGCAGGGAAAGCTGAGCGTCTGCGAAGGATCCGTCCTGCCCTTCCTACAGGATCAGGTGCCTTTGGCCAAACCGACCTCGACAATTTACACTTGTCCGCGGCCGCCGCGGAGCAGAGAGACCTGTAACCTCCCCACGCCTCTGTTTATTACATCTCAATTATTTCCATGGAAACGCACGCCGCCGCGCCGAGCCACGCGGGTCCCGGTCCCCCGACCACCGCAGGCGTAGTAGGGTGGGCTTCGGGGGAGCTACGGGCTGGCAGGAGGGGGCGGGGGCCGGGGAGGGGAGGGGAGGGGTCCGCAGAGAAGGCACTGGGGGAGTTTGGGATGTTGGGACTGCAGGGGGATGCGTGGACACAGCCTCCCGGCTAATTAACATGAGTAACTGTAATTAACAGGCTGCTGCTAGACGGGAGCATGGACGGGGGAGTGTTCAGCGGAGGCTGGAGGAAGATGCATCCATTTCCCGTCCACAGGCACCGCGGGCCCGAGGAGGCCAGGGTGGGTGCAGGGAGGCCGGGAGCCCGCACACGGACAGGTACGAGGGGCCGAAGTCACACCCGAGAGAGGGGAGGAGAGCAGGCCCGGATCGAGGCCAGAATGAATGGAGGGGACAAACGTTCCGTGCCACGGGGAAACACAAAACGGAGAGCGTGGTGACGGGAGGGACACCGCCCGGAGACCTGACGGGTGTAACCTGCGTGGTTTGGGGTTGTTTTTGTTGTTTGTTTGTTTTTTAAATATATTTTATTGATTTTTTTACAGAGAAAAAGGGAGAGGGGCAGGGAGTTAGAAACATCGATAAGAGAAACATTGATCAGCTGCCTCCTGCACACACACACCCACCCCTACTGGGGATGTGCCCGCAACCAAGGTCCATGCCCTTGACCTGAATCAAACCCGGGACCTTTCAGTCCGCAGGCCGATGCTCTATCCACCGATGATAATTATTATCATCATTATTTTTAACCACAAGGCTTTGGATGAGCCTGCCCTCCCCGCTGCCCCATTGCCCTGCGCCCTTCCCTGCTTGCTGGGCGACGCCATGAGCACCGAGTTTTCAAAAAAAAAGGATGGATATCCCAGGAGACAAGGACCCCCCCCCCCAGAAGGAAGGTTGCACCCGTGAGTGGGAAACACACACAACCCTCCTCCGCCCCGACTGCCCCCCAAGCCCGTTTGATTTTCAAAGCAGCAGAGCCTGTGCTTTCAAATCACACTTTCCGCGCGTCCGTCAGCCACGGCTCCACGTCCGCCTTTCCTCCCTGCCACGGGCTTTCCAGATTCCGAGATCAATCGCAAATTACGGGCCTGCGCCTCCGGCAGCCGCTGTGCGGGCTGGGAGGCCCGAGGGCCGGGCCCGGGCCCCCACGCCCCCGGCGGAGGCGAAGCCAGACAGAGCGCCGAGTAAGAGGCACCGCTGTTCCCCCAGAAAGCACCTCCGGTGTCTTCAAAGGTGAGGACCTGCCGTCTGCAAGGCCCGGAGGGAGCTGTCCGCACTCCGCACTCACTTTGAATATTGCTGGGGGGGGGGACATTCTTGAAAAGCAGTGAATCCATCACCTGCGGCAACTCCTATCTGTCCGAGCCATCTTCTCCTTTCACTCCGCTCTGCCCCGTCACCCGGGAAACAGAATAAAAAGCAGAACGGGAGAGGCTGGGTGGGAACACGCCGAGAGCCACCGAGAGAAGCAGAGGGGGGCGGACACCAGGCACAGAGGGGCGCTGGGGGGGCTGAGAGGCACAACACTCCCCCTCGATGCCTATCCCGGTCTGTCCCCGTCTGCGGTCTCCTCCCCGCCACCCCTGAGCGTGAGCCGTCCGAGAGCCATCCCAGCGTGTGTGTGCGCGTGTGTGCGCGTGTGTGTGTGTGGGTGCGTGCGCGCACACGCGTGCATTTAGAGCGGCCCTCGTTTGCCGCCACGTCAAGGCTCGCCCCACACGACGCGAAAAACCGGCTCCTGAGTCTTTTCTCAGACACGCGAGGGGTTTCAGCGTGAAGTTCCCGCAACTCCGAGCCGCCCACCCATCTGATCCCCGCAAAGAGCGCGGCCTCTCCTGAACGGAGGAGGCCCGGACCCTGGCCGGTACCTCCGCGGTCAGAGCATCGTATGAGGTGCCAAGGATGTGAGGCTCCTTCCCCTCTGCCCCAGTCAGGGTGCATGCACACACATGCATGCACACACATGCACACACATGCACACACACACACACACACGAATTGACCAATGGGTGCAGACAGAAGTAGAACAACAAATCCATGTTTCTCTCCCCACCCCCTCTCTCAATAAATAACGTTTTTGGAAATAAGTAAATAAAGGGCTGGAGGTGGCGGGGAGGCGAGGACAGACAGACGTAGGCACTCGCTGCCGCGTCTTTTATGAAAAGCCGCCTCCCGTACACAGATGTCACTCAATATCACTGCCGGGCGCTCAGGAATGACACGGTGCTCCCAGCCGGAGGTCCGGGGGCTCCGTTAGCCCTGGGGCCCCCCGAAGTGGCTCCCGGGCCGAGCGCTGAGCCAGAGAGAGGGGGACCGAAACCCACAGTCACATCCACCGCCTGCCGAGCCCTTCCAGCAGCAAAAGGACAAACATCTGCCCAGCTCCCGTCCTCCCCCCTTCTTGGGGTCTCTCGCCCGGTTTCCTCGTCCCCCAGTCAGAGCACTTTCCAGCCCTCAAGTCTGTGGACCCGTCCAGGGGTGCCTGCCTGGGTGGGGGGGACCAAGACCCACTTTTCTCAAGGAAAAAGGGCGCAGGTGCAAGGCAGCGACCGAGCGTGTGGGCTGAGTCTGTCTGCTCTGAGGTGACAGGAGGGCCTGGCAGAGCGGCCACCCCAGGGGACCCCCTGGGGCTGCAGAAGCAATGGCGGGGTCCCCCCGGCTGGGCTGCAGATCCCGCCCCGGCCCCTCCAGCCGGGAGGGAGAGGCTGGCAGGAAGGGCGCAGGGCCCGGCGCCGCTGGCTCGCTGGCTCGCAGGCCTCAGGAAATGAACTTTGCAGAGCGGAGCTGGCTCAGGCCAGAGGTCAGCAGGGGCACAGGGAAGCCGAGGCCTCATGCCTCTGGGCTCCAGAGACCCGGCCGCTCTCCGCTCTCTCCTCCATCATCGCCCGGGGCAGCCGGACACCCACTGAGGGGCTGGGATCGGGGACAAAGCGGCCAGCGAGGCCTGGAGAGGCCGCCGGCCGAGGGGGGAGCGGAGCGCAGGGGAGGGGAGGGGCCCGGGCAGCCACGGCCTCTCCGGGGGCCTGGGCTCTCCAAGGGCGCCCCGGTGCCAACAGAAAGCAAAGCCAGGAGGCGGCGGGTGTGTGTGTGTGTCCTCACACGTGTGTGCACCCGGCACCCACCCTGGAGGCTGGCCCGGGTGTGGGTGCGCGGGGCCGGGCCATGCGCCCTCCGCGGAGGAGCGCGCGGCGGGCTGACCTCCCCGGGGGCCGCGTCCCGCCAGCGCCGGCAGACAATGCGCTCCTGGCGGAGGCCGGGCCCGCGGCCGCGGCGGGAGCGGCAGGAAGTGGGGGGCCCGGGCCGGGCGCGCGGCGTGGCCGGGGGACACCCGGCGCCCTGGGCGCCCCGGCGGGGCCGATGGAAGGCGGCGGGGCCCGGGGCCGGGCCCGGGGAGGGAGAGAGAGGCCTCGGAGCCGCCGGCCTCGGGGCGTCCCGCCTCCCCGCCGGCCCACCGCCGCCTCGGAGATTCGCAATCCCCGCCACGCCGGGCCCGCACCCCTTGATTGGCCACGCGGGTCCGGGGCCGGCGCGCAGGAGGCGGCGGGGGCCCCTCCGCGGCGCCCCGGGCCCGGCCCACCCCCGGCGGCGGCGCCCGGAGAGATCGGGTCGGGGGGCCGGAGAGGGTCGTCCGGGCCGAGAGGGTGACCACGGGCGCCCCTTCCGCCGCCGCCGCCGCCTCCGCCTCCCGCCGCGGCTCCCTCCTCCCCCGCCTCCGCCTCCTCCGCCGCCGCCTCCGCTCCTCCCCGCTCCGCGCGGCCCCGGCCGCCCGCCCGCCGGTCCCTCCTCCCGCCGCCCGCCCGCCCTCCGCCCGCCGCCGGCCGCTGCTCACCTTTCACCGAGCGCGGCTTCGCCTGCTTCCGCCGGGACATGTCCGGGCTCCGGCGCCGCCGCCCCGCCGCCGCGGGCAGCCCGCGCCCCTGCCCCGGCGCCGCCGCTCGGAAACTTTCTTTCCCCGCAGCCGGGCCGGCGGCGCGGGGAGCGGCCCGGGGCCTCCGGGGCGGGGGCGGCCGGGGGCGCGCCGGGCCCTGCCTGTTGCAATGCGGCAGCCGGGGGCTCGCGGTCCCGGCGGCTCGCGTCCCGGCGGCGCGGGGAGTCCGGAGGCCACTCGGCTGAGCCGAGTTATGCAAAAAAAAAAAAAAAAAAAAAAAGCCGCCCCCCTCCTCCTCCTCCCACCCCCCGCCGGCCCCCGGCCCCTGCGGCCCCCTCCCTCCTCCCTCCCCGCCGCCGCCACCCTCGCCCTCCTCCCGCTCCCCCTGCTCCTCCGCCCCTCGCCGGGTTTTTGTGCAAAGTTTGCAGGCGTCCGGCCGCGCGGCCCGGCGCGGGCGCACAATGAGCCCCGCGAGGCGGGGGGCCGGGGCCGGGGCCGGGGCCGGGGGAGGAGGCCGCAGGCGGCGGGAGCACGGAAGCTCAGCACCCCCCGGGGGGTGGGGGGAAGCCTTCGAATGATTCCTCCCGGCCTCACACACACACAAAAAATATAATCAATATGAGCGGCTCAAAAATTTTAAAAAATGCCCAAACGCCTGATGGATTGGGGCGGGGGGGGTCCCCTCAACTCAGCCCACTTGGGGGCTGGAAGCGGCCGCCGTGGCCCAGCAGCCGCCGCTCGGGGGCCCGGCTCACGCCCCCTTCTCCGGCTGGAGGCTCCGTCCGGCGCCGGCCCCGGGGAGGAGGAGGAGGAGGAGGAGGAGGAGGAGGAGGAGGAGGAGGACGGGGCGCGCGGGGCGCTCAGGAGGCGGCGGGCAGGCGCCCCCGGGCCCCGGGCATCGCTGCGGCCGCCGTGCTGCCCTCGGGCCGCGGTGTCAGCGCGCGGCGCGCGGCCGGTGCCCGGGCCGGTGCCCAGCGGCCGGCCGGCTAGCCGCCTCCATGGGCCGGGCGCGCGGGGAAGGGGGCGGCGGCGGCCGCGGCGGCGGAGGACGCGCAGGCGGCGCTGGCGGCGGCGGCGGCCGGGCTCCCGTCCTCCCGGGCGGCGGCGGCGGCGCCCCGGCTGCTCCGCGCTCCGGCCGGCGCCGGCCCGCCCGCCAGCCGCGCTCCGGTCTTCTTTGTGGCCGCCGGCTGCCCGCCTCCCGCGCCGGCTGCCGGGGCCGCAGTGCGGAGACACATAATAGAGCCGGGCTTGGCTGGAAGCGGAGCCGGTCCCAGCAGGAGGATGTGAGGCGCGGGGTCCCGGCGGGGGAGCGCTCTGATCCCGTGGGGCGCCCCGCGCGGCTCCGGCTCGGATCAGACGGAGAGAGGGCCAACAGCACCGAGCGATGGACGGCGCTGGAAATACAGCCCGGCCGCCCGCAAAACCCGGACCAAACCGGACCGCGGCGGCGGCGGCGGCGGCGGCCCCCGCACCACCGCGCGCGGGGCGCCCACCCGGCCCCGGGGGAGGGGCGGCGGGAAGAAGCGGACACGGGCCCACGCGGCTGTCACCCGTCCAGATGCAGCCGCGTCGCGAACTGCAAAGAGCGAGGCCGGGAGGCGGGGGGGGGGGGGGGGGGGCCAGGGGGTGCAGGGGAAACTGGGGTGCATTGCCCACAGGGCCGCCTCCGCGGATGACGCCGCACGGACAAGTGGTGCGTGGGCCGGGCAGTTCACTCTCGGGTTCTGCCCACGGATCCGCGTGGGGAGACCTTCGGGGCCCCACATCCACAGACTCCTGAGCAGCCTCGGGGCTAACTCCGTGCCCCCCAAAACCCGCGTTTGTAGGGTCCCCGCGCACTTGTTAGCTGAGACTGGAAAGGACCCGCTTGGCTGCAAAATGCAGCTGTGGTCCTGCCCCCCCCCCCCCCACGCCCCACTTCCCACCAAGTTCTGCCCCGGCCGCCAGGGGGCGCCTCGCCAGGTGCCATTCCACGTGGGACCCTCCGGGAGGGGGAAGTCGCCCCCAGGAGGCTCCCCTGCCCCGGTCTCTGCAGCCGCCCTCCCCCCCAGCGGCGGGTGGCGCCCCCTGGGGCCGGTGGCCCGGAGCCGGGAGAGATCCATCCCGCGGATCGATCGGTCGCCCCGGGGAGAGGGCGGGCCGCGTCCCCGTGGAGACTCGTTACCCAGGGCAACCTCCCGGCCGCCCGCCGCCCGCCGCCCGCCGGGGCCGCGGGGCAGCGGCGCCGCCCCCTGCGCCCCTCTCCGGGCCGGGGGCGCAGGCCGCCCTGAACCCCGGGGGAGGGGCGGGGGGACACCCTTGAGCTTTGACCCGCGAAGCGCGACGCCGAGAGGGACACCTGGGCCCCGGGAGACCAAGAGCGAGGAGGGCCCCCCAGAGGCCAGGACGGGGAGGTCCCCCCCCATCACCGCCCCCCAGAGGCCAGGACAGGGAGGTCCCCCCCATCACCGTCCCCCAGAGGCCGGGACGGAGAGGCCCCCTAGCTGGGGTCCCCCCATCACCGCCCCCAGAGGCCAGGACGGGGAGGTCCCCCCATCACCGCCCCCCAGAGGCCGGGACGGAGAGGCCCCCTAGCTGGGGTCCCCCCCCCATCACCGCCCCCCAGAGGCCGGGACGGAGAGGCCCCCCCCATCACCGCCCCCCAGAGGCCGGGACGGGGAGGTCCCCCCATCACCGCCCCCCAGAGGCCGGGACGGGAGGTGCCCCCATCACCGCCCTCCCAGCTCTCGCGCCTGAGCGTGTCCCCCACCTGGGCCTCCCCGGGGCTGGCTGGACTTGGGGGCGCCCCCCTCGGCTCCCGGATGGCGGGTTGGGCCGAGAGGGGGCGCCAGGGGCCACCACGGGAGGGCAGAGGCCGCGGCGCCGGGAAGGGAGCCAGGAGGGAGGGGCCGCCAGCAGCTCCCGCCCCCGGCGGCCCTGGGATCGGCCGGAGCGAGGCTGACAGGCGGCAGATGGCACCGCCGGGGGCGGCGGGCGGGGGGGGGGGGGGGGCCTGGCTCCCGGTGCCCTCGCCGCGGGCTGCCTCTCCCGGAGGAGGGGGCGGAGGACGGCCCCCGCTGGCTCCCCAGGGGGCCGGAGCCTTCCCGTCCTGCCCAGCCCGGCGGGAGCCGGGGAGAGGGGTCGGACAAAGGGAGCTCAGTGGGAAGGGGTGTGCTTGGGGAAGGGGTGGGGGCACAGGCTGGGAGACCCGCTGCGATGCCCTTTCCCACCCACCGGGAGCTCTAAAGACCAGAGGCCGGAGGTGAGGGAACAGGATGGGGGGGGGGGGGGGGGGAAACAGCCTCCCCGGGACCCAACCCACAAAGGCGGGGGCCTTGGAGGAGAGCACGAAGTTTTTGGACCCTTTGGGGGAGTCCCCTCCCCCCACCCCCCATACTCCGGAGGACCTGGCTGCTGCCTCCCAGCTCAGGGGGTGCAGCCCTTCCCCAGCTTTCTCTGAAGCTTGTTTCATTTTTAACTCCTTCCAGAAAAGTAAATAAATAAATAAATAAATAAAATGCTAGTTTAAGAAAAATTCCAGAGCAGCAAAAAGCCTGTAGCTCCTACTTAAAAGGGTCTGGGGGGGGGGGGGGGGGGGGGCACTGGCTGAGGGCAGGCTCTCTGCCCTGCACCTCCCCCCCAACCCCTGCAGCCTTGATTCTCACCAGCCTGCTGACCTGGGACCAAAAATGGTCATTCTTCCAGTGGCATCTGATGCCCCAGGTGCCTGCTTCCGGCCGGCTGCGGGGGTCTGGGGGTCTCCCCTGTGAGAAGGCCCCACGGCCCCTTCATCAGCTGCCCCACCCCCACCCACCCCCAGGAGTGTCTGGACAGACCCTTTGTCAGCTGTGAGAAGCCGCCAGCATGTATGCAAGAGGGATGACAAGGTGATGTTTTCCAAAGCGCACAAGTCCAAGCTCACAGGAACAGTGTCTTCTGAGTCCTCCCCTGGCTGGAGGAGGGCCCCACCCAGGGCTGCTTGGTCCTAAGGGGACCGGCACAGCAGGGAGTGAAGCCTCGTCCTTGCACTCCCTGAAGAAGCGGCGGCACCCCGAGCAGCAAAAACCAGGCGGGCCCGGACAGTAAAATGAAATCAGTTCCTCTGGCAACCTCCAAACCGGTGTCCTCAGGTTCGGTCCAGGGGCGCTTGGCCACACGTGACCAAATGCCCGCCTCCTCCCCATGCACACACGCCACGCACACATGCACACACACCCTGTCACTGCTCCAAGAGGAGCCATCTAAACGTGTGGCTTCTTTGTGTTCCTTGAAAGTCACGCGCTCCCAGAAAAAACTTGCCTTGACTATAAAGGCACCTGGTCCTTCCTGGGAGAGAAGATGCGGCCCCCCACGTCTTCCCCCCAGGAGAGCAATCCATGCCTCTATTCATTTGCTTATTCCACCTGCATGGATTGATGGTGGGCCCACTGTGTGCCAGAACACCCACTGTGTGCCAGAACTCCTACTGTGTGCCGGACAGAGGACCCCAGGCGCTGCCTGCTGGGCTGGTTCTCTTGCAGGGAGGCTGGCTTGTCATCAATGGCCCTTTAAATAATGATTTAATCGCAGTTTTAAACAATCCTGAGAAGGAAAAGTGCAGCGCAGACAAGGCCAAGACGCAGAGGGTCTCGGCAATGGTCTGGCTGGGAGCCTGGAGGAGGCATGGCACCTGGCAGAGAGAAAGAGAACGGCGTATGTAAAGGGCCTGAGGCAGAAAGGCTGGGTGATTTGGGGGACAGGTGGACAGGGGGCGTTGTCACAGCTCAGAGCCAAGGGCCCTACGGGGTGATCACAGCCAGGGGCCGAGACCAGCCTGGTCTGTGTGCCCCTCCAGCTCCCTTCCCGGCCTTGTTGCAGGAAGCCTCGAGCAAGGGGGCTCCCTGTGCCTCCATCTTCTCATCCGCAGAATGGGGATGCAGAGAGCCTGGCCTCCAGGGCCGTCTGGAGGGTTTTGTGTTAGTGCCTGCCCCTGCCCGGCCCAGACAGAGGCCAGGATCCAGCAGGCCGGGGGCCTTCAGGTCCCTCCCTCCCTGCCTCTGACCTCCACCGCCCGCCAAGGTCAACCGTGGCTCTGGAGAGAGATGCCCGTTCCCTCCTGGCCCCCCACGCCCTCCAGGTGCAGGTCCTCCTGCAGACAGACACGCCCTGCGCTCTGGGCGCAGCCTTAGGCCTCTCGGGAAGGCTCTGTGCTGCATGGACTTGAGTTTCCCTTTTCTCTTTTGCATTTGTGTCTTAATAATCCGCCTATTCCTGGAGGCCTGGTTTCCTTGGGCACTTGTG